GGACTAAAATACTAACGTGGGGAGGCGGCCTGAGTGAGTGATGCGAGTGTGATGTGAAATGAAGAGTGCTGAAGGGAATCATGGAATAACAAAAGTTTTCTGTAATGTTTTAATGTGATCATGGAATAATTATTTTTTGTCAACAGCATACGATGTAAGTACTATAGATTCAAAGATAACAAGCTTTATTGAACAGGTGTAAAAGTGAGAGTACTCTGGGATGAGTACTCTGAGAAAAGTACTCTGCGGAAAGTACTCTGAGATGAAATACCTCGCTGAAGGTACTGGGAGCCCCTCCCTCTGCTGTTTGTCCGGACAGTGATTCGGTCCAACCGCAGTGAGCGGTCATTGGGAGGAGGACAACTTTGGTTTGTAATTCACATTTAGGGGAGTATAAAATTAGAAACATACATATTGTTAAGTCTGTATTTGGCTACAGCCTCTGCCCTGATGCCACACACCGTCTGTCAATGCAGTTATGTTTTGCCCAATTGGATTGATTGACAGGCCGCACAATGCGAAGAGAGGAAAGTGGGCGTTTCTTGTGTTCTAATGTTTGTTTTTCAGATGAAAGATAAACTGTACCTGCTTCAGGGATAACACAGTAGTATGGATCATGAGGAAAATGAGCCTCTACTTTGCCACCAAAGCCCACAATATGAATTGAGGACGATCCGGGAGGAGCAACAGGATTGGAACAGTAATCTACACACACATACAGATGCATGTTTTATACTTTGGACCACGACCAACAGAGGGGAGTATTGTATTGTCATAGGTGGTCATGGTCAAAAAGCAAAATGGGAAAATTATTAAGTAATTTTCGGAGTTGCCAAAATGAAATAAAATTCTATATTTGTCCCATAGGGGGTCATTCTAAATTTAGTGTTGTGCAAATTCAAAAGGAGAAATAATAGCGCTTATAACATCAAACGGATCTACTCTTTAAGATAATAGATCATATAGTAAGATAATAATAGAATAGAATGAAATAGTCTGGAGCTATAATGTCATTGGATTCGAGGAGCTATAGGTTGAAGTGTCAGAATAAACAATAGTAATAATAGTTAGACTAGTGAATAATCAAAATAGTTCTATTGTGGAAATAAGTATCAATAAGGTCAAATTGTTCTAATAACTAAAGTAAAAAGGAATCAAATGGAGTCAGATTTTAGATGTTTCTGTTTTCCACATCTGTAGGAATTAGTGCAGATGTGTTTATAGAGAGTAGTATTAAAATGCAGACATAGAACGACAGGCTTTAACACAATTTTAAATCTAAAAATAGCTCAAATATAACATTGCTCTTGACGCAGCCTCTGAGCTGCTCCATTGGAGAACAGGTTAAATGTTATTGTTTATTACAAACAGCTGATGTATTCACACATATTAAGTTTGGGACAACTCTTTAAACAGTTATAAGCAGCGGACAGAAGCCATGAATGTGCTTTTGTTTATTAAATAATTAATTTCATAGCCTTATAATCGTGGAAAACGTTTTAAAATAGTTAAAATCCCTTTCAGGCAACTTGATTTAGATTTATGTCTTTAATATTAGAGAACGACTGTGTTGTTTTTGGAATTGTCTGAAATACAATACATAGAATAGTGATTTGCAGAACAAGAACCAGCCAATGAAAAATCGTCTATTGCCAATGCAATTGTTACAATCAGAACTCAAAAATTGGGAATATGCTTTGGCTCAAACTACAACCAAGATTTGGAGTCACAATAGAGTGTAAAATAGATAGATGCTTTCAAAAATAGAGATTATTTTTAGACAGGGCTAATATCAAACGGTAAAAGGACCATTTCCTTCATATTATGTCCAAAAGTATTTACTTCAAAGGTAGATAAAGTTCATTACAGTTTATGCACAGTTTTATTAGATACTGTCAAATTCACTTGTTTCAAACATAGGTGAATGTTGACAATGCAAAAAGCTAATGAGATAGATTAATGAGATCGATTAGAACCAACACAGATTCAAAAACATTTGAAAGCATTTTAATGAATTCGGGTATAGCACAAAAGTAGATCTTTAGGTAGTTTTGAGAATTTTAAGAGCTGTCGATTTGTCAGCAACAGATTAGAGAATCAAAATACCGTTGTATAGGGACTAACCCCGGAGAAACCTGCTAAAATAGATTAGCTCCTGTACGGATAATACCAATTTGATTAACGATGTACATTTATCCCAAACGGTCTGAGAGAAGGAAGTGACAGCACTTCCTGGTTCAACAAAATGTGTTTGGAAAAATGAGCAAAGCCCCACAAAATGGCACAAAGCCACTGAGAATGACACAGCACTGGTGATCAAATAGTATTGAAGGAATGGTAAAAATGTGGTTTGTTGTGTGTTGTTTGTTTTCTCTGTGTTAACTCTTCACAGATATCAAGCTGGAACTAAGCACAAGTATTGATGATAAACGACGATGTGGATTGTGACCTAATTTTAATCAGGTCAAAAGAGGGAAACTGTTGTATTTATAAATACGTGACATTCTAAAACCATGTGTTTTATGACCTAGCTGACCTCTAAGTGGGAGGCCAGTCCTTCTTATTTTATTTTAGGTGTCTTCTTGTGCCAGCAACTGGACAACAGATGGAATTCTGCTGTTTGTATTTCAACCCCCTAGTCTTGGCCTGCTGACTTCTGCACTTTTCAACCTCACACCATCAGGAGTCTGGCAGACGAGGAAAAGGCTGGACCCTAGACCGGAAGCTGGCTGATAGGACACTCCCCTCCTTCCTGTTCTTTATATATGCGCTGGCTTGGGGAGACACAGAAGGATCAACCGAGGGACAGAGAAAGGGACATATTAGTTTTAGGAGCACTTTTTTGTTGAATATTCTGTACCTGATTGTAAAGATAATTAAATGCAGATGTTAAACGAGAAGATCTCTTGTCTCGCTCTTGCATCGACTTTGGACACGTCAGTCAAAGGGAATTATTGACTTCAGTCATCCCTTGCGCAGTGAAAATTATGAGCAGGGTTTTCACCGCCCATTTTACCTCCATTAATATACAGCCAAAACCGGGGGTCCTAGCCATCCAGTATTTTGAGAAAGAGCGTGACTATATTTCAGACTCTGAGGACGAGGAGTACACCCATGTCAGGGTTGTAGGCTAGGGTTACAGGTGTCGGCGCGGGGAGGGGTGGTGGTCGGCTGATGACCGTCAAGTCCAGAAACGCTTTGCCCCCCCTGAGTCGGGGTCTGTGACTAAGCCAGCGTGAATAATTGAATCAAGAAAATAAGTATGGTTTCCTTAATTTCCTTTTTTACTGTAATCAAACTGTGAATATACTACTTATTCAAAATGCTCACATTCTCTGTTTTTGTGGATGAATTTGTTCCTGTGATTTATAATTGTGATTTCTATAGCTAGAATTAAGATAAACGGGGTTTATATTAGAGATGTACCGATCCGATATTCAGTATCGGTATTGGGGCCGATATGGCTATTTTGTAAGGATCCGATTGTATCGGATTTGTTACGAATATTGGGCCGATTTACGTCACTTTTCAGCATGCTCACGCTTTACGGCTGTCGTAAACGCGTTGATAAGTTGCGAACATGTCTGCTATCTGGGACTATTTTTCACTGGTAAATAGTGATAGTCAAACAACTACTTGCAATATTTGTAAAGTAGCAGTTTCACGAGGAGGGAACAAAAAGGCTCACTTCAACACTACAAACTTAATCCGTCACTTGGAAAGGAACCACGCAGCGGAGTACGACCTTTACAAGAGCAAGACTGCGAAGCAACAACAAACTTTGGCAGAGGCTTTTCGCAGGCATGAACTATTACCTCAAAACAGTGACAGGTCACGGAAAATAACGCAAAGGGTTGTTGAATACATTGCATTGGATGATCAGCCCATTTCTGTCGTGGAAAACGTGGGATTTTGTCGTTTGATGAAGTTTTTGGAGCCGAGGTACGAACTCCCTTCTCGACGCTACATTTCATTTCCCCGAGCTCTACAGTAAGATTCGCGAGCATGTTGTTAGTATTTTGGCCGATGCAACTGCTATTTCTTTTACAACGGACATATGGAGCTCTGGTGTCTGCCCAATGTCGCTCCTTAGCCTTACTGCCCACTGGATTGATAAAACGTACAACCTAGTAAATGTTGTACTGCACGCCAGCGAGTTCCGTGGCTCTCATACGGCTGAACATGTGAGACAAGCTATCGACGAAATGTTGGTGGGATGGCACATAGACAAACAAAAAGTCCATGTCATTTTGAGAGATAATGCCAGCAACATGCGTAAAGCCATGGATGACATGGGACACACTCTTCACCTTATCGTAAACGAGGGTCTACTATCACAAGGGAGCGTGAGTGACACTTTAGTGATTTCACGCAAAATTGTAAGTCACTTTAAACATTCCCCCCTGGCCTACTCACGCCTTTAAAGACATTCAGACTGAGCTGAAAATGCCAATAAAACGCCTGAAACAGGATGTTCAAGTAAGATGGATTAGCACTCTCTATACTGCAAAGCCTCCTAGAGCAAAGACGTCCCCTCAGTGTATATGCTAGTGAGCACAACCTTCCCTCTACTCTCACTGCAAACCAGTGGATGTTGGCCGAGAAGACTGTGTTTGTGTTGGCACCATCTGAAGAGGTCACCAGGGCAATAAGTGGAGAGACTGCAACATGTGCTAATGTGATACCTGCCATCACAGCGCTCAAACGTGTTCTCTCCAAAGAAGAGAATGACAGTGGCATCAAGACAATGAAGAGCACACTCCTAGAGGCTATAAACAGGCGCTTCGCCCATGTTGAGACTGAACCACTCTACTACATTGCTACTCTGGTGGATGCAAGATACAAAGACCAAAGACAGGCAAGTCTTTTTTCTGTTATTTTGTTATGTTATTTTGTGATTATGTACCTTTTGTGTAATGTGTCATTTGATACAGCTCATTATTTACAGGTTTTTCACAAGTCCAGACAATCTGAAGCATGCCAAGGACTCCCTCCTTCAGATGGTTGATGAAATAGGCAAAGCCAACAGCAGCGAGCCGATAAATGAAGAACCAGTGAGAAAAGCCCCACGTGAAAGTCCCGCAGCAGCCAGCAGCAAACTAGGAAGCATCTTCGAAGAGATCCTGGAGGAGAGAGAAGTAGAAACCAGAGCAACAACCTCATCCTCGGCCGTTTCAGAGGTGCAGAACTACCTCTCAGAACCAACCATTCTCAGGTCAGACAGTCCACTAGAGTACTGGAGATCAAATGCTACACACAGTCCCTCATTGGCAGTTCTTGCTACAAAGTTTCTCTGTGCACCATGCACAAGTGTGGACAGTGAACGACTTTTCAGTGCTACCTCAAATATAATGGATGAGAAGCGAAACCGTTTATCTGCTGAATTAACAGAGAAGCTTGTCTTTATCAAAAAGAATTTTCACTTTGTTGAGTGTTAATTAGTTTATTCTGAATTTATTTAAATCCGTTTTTAAGTTTTGTTTCTGTGTTTTTTAGGGAGTAAAACTCCCCTTTTTATTTTGTATTGTGGCTGCTGCTACACCAGCACTTAAAAGGAGTACCTTCCTCTATTTTTTTTATTATTGTTTTGATATTATTCAAGGTTAAATGTAGCACAAATGCCTTGTTGTATTTAATCATTTTTGCTATCAGAGTTTACATTTGCAGAGTTTACACACTGGTTAACCCTCTATGCCCATGGGTCATTTTGGGGAATTTTCCTCGTCTGGTTTTTTGTGTGTATAATTGCTCATAAAACAGTCATCTAGTGATGCACAGTCAAGCTTTTTATTTTGTTTTTTTTCAGGACAACCTGGGCTTTTAGAATATTCACACTGTACTAGTTTCATATGCATGTAAGAAAAGTTATGAAGTCATAAAGACATGCAAAAAATGTAAACGGAAAATAAAGTTTTCAAACAGTTATTGAAAAAACACAATGAACTTCAATAAACAACTTTTTTCATCATATAGACATTTTCTTTGGGGTCTTGGGGAAAATGTGAAAAAAAATTGAACTTGTAACTATATACATATTCACAAAATTGCAAAATGTGTGAAAAAAACCCAGACGTTTTTTTATGCCAGATGCCAATCATGAAAGCAGTTTCTTTCTGTGACAAGGCAGAGAGGTACATCACAGCTTTTACACTTCCAGGGGGTGCATTGCCTTTTGTCTCGAGTGGTTCTACAGTGAATACAGCTTCTTCTCCCATATGAGGCCCGCCTGCTTGGGTCTTCCTGCTGTGATATTGGGACTGGCAAGTGTTCTGCTGGGGCTTTCACAGGAGGCACAGTCGCCGACACACCACACAGCTGGGCTGCCAGCTCCTCCAGAAAACATAGATCAGACATCGGGGTTTCTGCTTTTTCCTTACACAACTCTTTGTGTAAAATGAATGAATTTGTGGACGCTATATCCATGAAATGAAAAAATAAGGTCCGGTACCAGCGTTTGGTGGAGTGGCGAATGGTGTAGTACTGGATGAGTTGATCTGACAGATCAACTGTTAGTATTAGATAGCAATATGGCCTACGTGCAGGACTCTACAAGGACTCCATGTTATGACTATGATTTGACTGTCTCTTTGTGACACGTATGTCTTTCGATGTGTGACGTGACAATGACTATATAAACTGTGTACTGCCTTTATTCTGTCTGAGAGAAAGAAACAAGGTAAACCACTGGAACTTGAGAGAAACTTAAATAAACTTCCAGAGTTTGGCGCACCACGATCCGTCTCTGTCTGCTTCATCCCTGACAGATTTGGTGGAGGATGTGCGGCTCAGTGTGTGCCATTCTCTGGATTGTTTTGAGGGAGTTTTCTTTGTTTCTTTTTCTCGGCGTGGGAGAGCTGAGATTGTCTGGGGCCTGGGAGCGGTCCAGCAGGCTGGAGAGGCGACCGGCTCCGGGACTCTTTTTCGCTCTTTCACTATATTTTTTTGTGTCCTGTTTTTTGGACTGAGCGTTTAAAATTGTTTTCCCATGTCCACATTCCGGGGATTTTTGACGTGCGATTGGTCTCTGCCGATGGAAACTAGTTCCCGGTACTAGTGAGCGCTGGTTCATGATCTGGAGACCTGGTTGGACGTGGAAAAGCTGATATTTGGTGGACTTCTGACTGTGCCTGGGCCCTGTTCGACAAAAGGTAAGAGCGGACACCTGTTTATTCAAAGTCTGCTAATTGAGTGAACTAAATTATGGTCTGTTTTGAGGTCTGCCAAATGTCATGTATCTATAGATCAGATTAGATTAAAAACAGGTTCGCTACCTGACGGGGTTAGAGTCCCTTTGAGAAGAAGTCTCGGGGTTAGAGTCCCTTTGAGAAGAAGTCTCGGGGTTAGAGTCCCTTTGAGAAGAAGTCTCGGGGTTAGAGTCCCTTTGAGAAGAAGCTTCAGGGTTAGAGTCCCTTTGAGAAAACGTTTTCGGGGTTAGAGTCCCTTTGAGAAAAGATAGAGAAGGATCCTTAGTGAAACCATGGTGTAAAATTAAAAGCAATTTTTAAAAAGGGAAACGTGTTAAGGAGGCCTTTTGTCACAAAAAGTTTTGTAATTAACCAATTCCAGGCTTGATAAATGACAAAAGTAAAGAAGCAACAATATTTCAGTGATCACGGTTTAAATTACATACAGAAAAAGGGAGTTTTTGTTTTTGGAGTGAACAGAGTTCACCGGAGAATGCAGAGTTTTATCTACAGTTGAGCTATGAGAGGGTTGTATCCAACAGTTGTTTTTGTTTTTTAGAAAGAGATTTTGAGTTTAAACTAGTTTGCTACCTCGATAAAATAGAAGCGTAAACGTTAAAGACAAGAGTGCCTTTTGTTACAAGTGTGGAAAGTGACCACATCTAGACTTGGATGACAAAAGTTTAAAGAACAACACAAGTTATATTCGCTTAACAAAGTAATCTTGAAAGTTATTCTTCTATCTGTTTTTTGCATTTTTGCTAAAACACTGCTTTCTGCCTGTGTGTGTGCGCCGCTCTATCTTGCTGCCGTTGTCAGGGAAACGGCCCCCTCCTTTGCTACTCTGGCTCTGAATCAGAACAAACCTGCTTTTAGGATTTTGGCTTTTATTAAGTTTTTAAATTTGCAAAATTTGCAATTGAACATTGTGTTATGACACAGTTAAACGTTTTAAACACCATTTAGTAAAAATAATTATTATGTTTTTGAAACCCAAATATTAGTGCTAAAGCTTTGCTTTTCTTTTTAAATCTGCTGCTTATTTTTGAGTCCATTATTGTATCTCTGATATATTTCATAGCTGTTTGTGAGAATTTTTTCATGTATTTTTTATTTTAGTTACAAAAGCCGTTTTTCAAACATTTATATTAGAATCTGTGTTAAAAGTGATTATTGATTATAGACTTCGTCTAAGAAGAAAGAGGGAATTAGGATTAGCTCTAAAAGTATTATTAAGTTGAACTCTACCCAACGACTTTTGTTTTTGTTTTGACTACACGCCTGACCTTGTTGCTGCTGCTGATGCACACAGCAGAGGAGACTGGCTCTAAAATGTGCTCCAATTCATATTGACTTAATTTGAAAATGCTGCAATTATTTTAAAATGAAGCTCTTCGCGTAAATTCACTGTGGTAGACCCGGCCGCTGCTGCCAGATCTACAAGCCTGCTCACCATCTACTCATCACACCAGCAAAACGCCCACATCTAATCCACCAATAACCACCAGGACAGCAAGTTTAAAAGCCGAAGACGCCCACTTCCCGGCCTTCCGAAATCTGCAAAGTGTTGTCAGTGTATTGCACCTGTCCACCATGCGTTCTTCACCCCGTGCTCATGCGTCCCCGTCTGTTTCGGGCTCTTCGCATAGCTCTCGGAGCGACTTGTTCGTTCCCCCCTCGCCTGCGCCCGACCGGTCCCGGAAGAGCGCGCGCCTGGCGTCCCAGGACGCTGGATCCGTCCGTACCTTCCTCGCGGCCCGTGGCGTCGTGCCAGGTCCGGATGCAACCCCGCTGCAGCTCCAGCGCCTCGTGGAGCAGCTGTCAGCGGATTCCGCCTCCCCCCCGGCTCCGGACTCCCCTCCTCGCAAGCGCCGTCGCAAGGCCAACCACCTGCCGCCAACGCGTGCCTGCCCCCCTTCCTCTGTGCTTGACAGGCCCCTGCTTCCCCCGGCTTTGCCGGCTTGCCCCGTGCCTGCCCCAGCGCCCTGCCCCATCGTCGTCTCCCGGGCCGCCCCCGCGGTCCCCGGCGTGCCCCTCCCCCAGCCGGATCCGTTCGCGGCAGCCTTCGCGGCTCATGTGGCAGCTGCGGCTCAGGACCGGGAACTCCTCTGCGCGCGCACGGACGCCATCCTGTCCGCGGTGTCGTCTCTCCAGAGCTCGGTGGCCGCAGTGTCCGGCCGGCTCCGCGTCGTGGAATCCCACCCTCCCACCCCCACCGGGGCTCCGGTGGCTGTTCCTACCGCCGCGCCCCCCGGCGGTTCCCCGGACGTCGGTTTCTCCCTCTCCACGGCTGTGGCTGCTACGGCGTCCGGTAGGCCCTTTATCAATGCTCACTCGAACGTTTCCCCGCGGCTGCGGTCTAAAATACTGCTGGGACGCTACATCAATTTAGTTTCCCTCATCCTCCCCTCTCCTGAGTGTGACAGGCAGGTGGCGGCCTCCTCCCTGGTCACTGCGGTCGTAAAAACTGCTGATCCCCGCCTTTCGCGGGAGCTCTCCATCGGAGAGTTTCTCGTGGCCTTCGGCGTGTACCGGGACGTCCTGTGCACCGTGTACCCCGAGCGCAGGCCCGAGCTGGATGCTTATCTGGGCCTAATGGGAGACTTGGCCCTCCGCTACGGCGGTTCACACTTCTACCGCTACCATCGGGCCTTCGCCGCCAAGGCCGCGGCCCTCGTCTCCCAGGCTAATGTCAGAGTGGACTGGGCGGTCCTGGACACGGAGGTCCTGCTGTTGTCCGTCGGATGTGCCCCCGTGGTCTCCTGCTCCCGGTGCGGCGCGGCAGGCCACAGCTCTCCCCTCTGCCCCTCCGTTCCGTTCGACGCTGCCGCTGGTCAGTTTCCTAGGCCCCGCGCGCCTCCGTTTCCCAAAGCGGAGGTACATGATTTGAACAGTCCGTGCCGTAATTTCAACACTGGCGTGTGTACAATTTCATCTTGCAACTTTCTCCACATTTGCAGTATGTGCAGGGAGGCCCACCCACGTTCCGTGTGTCCCCGTCGCCCCCGCCCGGGCCGCCGTTCCGGGGGGCCTTCGTACAGGCCTTGATCACCACCCACCTCTCAACCCCAGTCTCCGTGCCCGCGCTGGCCCGCGCGCTCGCGCCCCATCCTGACTTGGCCTTCGTTGACTCTCTCCTGACAGGCCTGGCCCGGGGCTTCCATGTTGGAGTGGCGGCTCTCCCCTCGGCTTCCTACGTGTCCCGTAACCTGCAAACTGCTCTCCGCGAGCCTCTCGTGGTCACGCAGCTCCTCGCGCGGGAGGTGCACAAGGGCTACATCATCGGCCCCTTTTCCAGGCCCCGCTTTTCTCCGTTTCG